CGCAGATGTATAACCTCTCAATGCTCCAGCTACGTGCACCTGGGTCGAGAAGTCAGAAAGGCAAACTACTATCTCTGGAGTGAAGTATAGGGAATAAGCGACATGAGGAGCATTTTTAAATATTAAGAGAATCGCGTAAAAGGTAATACAGTGGCTGTATGGACAAAGTTCGATACTACTTCCTTTTCTGGCCGACTTATGCCTCAGAAACTTGGACATTGGGCAGGCAGGATGAGCATGCAGTCAACGTCGTCCAACGTGCTGTAGAAAGAACAGCACTCCGAGTTTCCTACATCACACTAGTGAAGCTGTAATACTGAGTTCGGGGGCTGTTACTTACGCCAATAATAACTCTGATAAAGGGCGCTATTACTTACGCCAAGAAATCGAAGATCGAGTGGGCAGATGTGTCGTTCGATTTTTGGATGACTGTTTGACCAAGTGGCAATCGACTAGATCCTTCAAAGGAACGGCAGAAAATTGACACCAACACAGCTGGACACTCGATGGTATGTTTCCTACTTACTTAAAGCGCTTCTTCTGTCGTTCTGTCGTTCTGTCGTTCTGTCTGTCGTCTGTCGTTATGTATGTCTGTCACGAAACTCCTCAGTTCCTTTAGATCTGCCTGGAGAGACCGGGTCAAACGCGCGATGGGTGAACCATGTCCCGAGAGGTGTAAAGCATACATCAGCTTGGTAGAGCCCCACCCACTGTGGGCGTGGCGTGCTTCGAAATGAGCTGTACTGAGGGCCATAATTTCAAATTCAGTCACAAGACGGCTTCAAAACAGGGGCGTAAAGGTGGCTAGAGATGTGCATTGGTAAGTTAGATCGAACACGGTGTGTGGCAGGATCGGACTCCGCCCAAAGGGGGCGGGGCTTGCGCGAAAAATCATGACTCCTGTCGCTATGGTCTAGATCTTGGTAGGAGTATAGGGGGCAGGAGGGGAACGCTCATGATGGATGGCAGAACTGGACTCCGCCCATGAGGAGCAGGATTTATGTGATTAACTTAGATTTGACCTGGAGCGATCAAATTTGGTAGAGTGAGACGGCACGATGGGAACACTTATGCTGAGCGGCAGGACTGACCGACTTTGCCCACGGAGGTCGGGGTTTCAGTGGAAATTCATAGCTCCTGTTCCAGTGGACCTAGAGCGCTAAAAAGTCGGAAATAAACAGTTACTCAAACACACAGAACCTTAGGGGGTTTGTTATGGCGGACGGGGAGCGCACGAATTGTGTTGGGTGTTTGTATTTGGCTGGGAATGAATAACTCCTGTTCTCAACTAACGAAGCCTCCAAACTTGAAAAGAGTGCAGGCGGGAAGCTATTTTAACACGGGGAGGAGAGCCCGCGTCAGCAGGGCGAGCCGACTGGTTTTTTTATAGTAGCTTTAAACGCGATATTAACTGGTGCCACTAACGCACCAGTAAGTTTCGAGCTGCTCGACGAGACAACAGGTGATAAGGGAGATGGACATTGATACTTATTAAGTGTTGAATCTGTCACTCTTTTCAGGTATTAAGGCATCGCAAGTGATTATATTCTTTGATTATTGAGAAGTAGTACATAGTGTGGATCGGTATGATTGAGAACCACAAATCTTGACCTTGCATAGCACTTATCATTTTTCTTTTATGGGTACAAGTCAAGAAGTTCATCTTTTTACCCGCACATCTAAGTCACCGTATCTCGTGCCCTAATATGGTCCTAACAAGACTCTCCTCAAGAGCTTACTAATTGTTCAGCAATAAAACGAGTTATAAATCTTCTTCGACAAAATGTACTACTTCTTGTTTTTTGTTTTGTTTTCAATTTTCTTTCTCCAGTTGTAAATAATCGACGTGTCAATGCGAGTATGCGTGCGTACGTGCGTGCATATGGATGTGTATGAAAGGGTGTATGTATGGATGAGCGTGTGGATGCATGAATGTGTGTATGATTGTGTTTTGCGCGTGTATGTGTGTAGGTGTTTGTGTACCTTGTGTCTCGTATATGTGTATGTGGGTGTGTACGTGAGTACTTTGTGTGTGTGTGTGTGTGTGTGTGTGTGTGTGTGTGTGTG